GATAATCGGGGGAATAACCATCATCGACCACAACTGCACAACCGATTCCGGAGTCGGTTCTGCGATGATGAGTCGTCGATTACTGGTCAATGTTGCCTTCAGCCATAATCGCTGCTGAACTGTGACACTCACTAATAATGACATTCCACAGTAAGCCCTTAGCAAGGTATGAGCGAGGACTTATCATCTACAGTAAGTGTTTTTGTTCCCTGTGTTGGGCTAATTCTAGGGCTAATCGAGTTGGTTTTGCGATTGGCCAAGGCCGTGGGGAGTATTGCGAGTATGCCATGTGTTCGAGTCTTTTGGGGGGGGCTCTCGTGATGTGGCAGGCATGGCACTAGTGTCGAGTCAACCTCTTACTTTATGTGCAAGCTGCAAGGATCCTATTTCTGCTCAGTGATCATTTATACCGTCAACCAAAAATCACCGGTGATCGCACGGGATAAAGAAGCAGATGGTGATATCTTTAATTACCTACATATGTAAACGTGATGAATCTGACAGCAACTCCGACTAGAGGCGTTCTTCACTGTCGATCTCTTTTGCCGTCTGCTTCCTCTTTGTGCCGCCTGTCTTTACTCTTGTATTCTAGTGTCCTCGTGGTATCCGTCACCAATATTATTTGGTACAAGTCACTCTGGAGACTCTTCAAAGATTCATTTTCTCCATCTTGTCTGTTCGCACATTTATATCATCCTGCATGTTACAGCCTCTAGGAATACCGATATCTGCAACATGGAGATCCTGTCACACCTTCGCAAAGGATCATGGGTTGCACACCTTTATACTCTTGTGAATCCGACGTCAGGAAGAAATACCGAAATTTGCATTAATGATACAAACCACATCCAGATCGCTGGGCCCTGCAAAGGTCTCTTTCCAGTGGTGGTCGACCTTCTGAATAATACCTTCAACAAAAGCTTAGAGAAAGATAAAAGAAAAACATGCCATTGAATTTCAACGGTCACATTACCCTTCGTGTCGCTGACCGCGATGACATCCAGGGCCAACATTCTCCTCCTTCGCGAACCTACGCCATCCTCCGACACTGGCCAGGACAGGAATGGAGCCATCTTTACTGCAGCAAACAACACGCCTTTCTTGATTCCAGTGGTCGAGACCGTGTTCTCGAATATCAATGAACTCACATCCGTAACAGCACAGGGCAATTTTGATGGAGTTGTCATGACCAGCGCACGCTCATGTGAGGCCTGACACAAGGCAAATGGTGCAGCCAAGAACGGTACGTGCCGCATTCACTTGCTCGGATCTTGTTCTCGATTTCAGCGACAGAATGTCCGTTCTATGTCGTCGGGAAGGCTATCAGCTGGACATTCTCTCAATGTTTGAAGGAGAGACCGACAGGGCCATGGTGGATCGTGTTCTTTGCACCATCTGCTGCCGAATTCGTTCTACCCTTTCTGAAGGAAGGGTTCGACATGGATTTAGTGAATATTGCTGTCATTGGACCAACCATGCATTAGTATCAAGGCAATGCAATACATGAAACATTACAGACAAACCTGGAGCATAGGCATTAACAGTGATACCGTATTTATCGACCTCATGCACTAACCATGTATAGTTGAGAATAAGTGCAATGTTCACCTGCAGGAGGCGCGGTCCCACCGGCACACTGTGTGAGCCCACGTATAGTGCACTTGGAGGCACCATATACTGGTAGGTTAGGAGATCCTGTGAGAGTGAACTTGGTTATATCCGTGGTTAATGTCCTTGGGCAAAAACCGGCGCACCTTGCTTTCCGGCGATGTGTCAAATCAAATACATCGGCCATCACAGAAGTATATTTCCAGTGATTGAGCGCCACGTTTACGAACAAACAAAGAGGACCGGCAGAAAACGACGGAGTAGGAAACTAACTTCTCGGATATCTTGAGGTCATAGTCATGCCAAGGTAATACACTGCGACGGCTCTTTCTTCGTTAACAGTAACAGCTCCGCAGGTCAAAAATATATAGTATTCAGACTGAGACCATCACGATCTTCCCACAGAAGAATTCGCAGTCCGAATTTCCCAAGCATCCAGCACTGAACTCAAAATCGCGTTCTCGATACCAACACACCAATCCCGGTGGCGCATCCAGTTACCCAGATTATACTCAACATTCCCAAGAGAGACATCACACCACCTTGTCCGGTTCAATCCTGCCCGCATCAACCCAGGGCTCGCACCTGAGGAAAAGTCGCCTCCGCTTCCCATCGTTCCGGCTGAACCGATAAAGTGGGCTCTCGAACATTTTCAGGAAGCTCACTTCGGGACCGTTCTGCGACACCAGGAACGTCTCTTTCTGATATATACTGAGTTTCCGTGCACGCAGGCTGTGATAAAATGAGCTCTAGCTTGGACTTGGTGAAGAGGCACTGACCAAGATCTTTGCGATTGCAGTTGGAACGGTAATTCTGCGTGGACAGCGATCATCATTCGGATAGGGTAGGAAAATCGCAACTTGCACCTTCCGCGGCCACAGCGACACAGACGGCTGGTTTGTCTCGATGGTGCGCTCTAGCCTGAAGGCGACCGTGAGGTCGAAGATGTTTCGGGAGGCATAGGTACAGCAGGTTCCATTCTGCGATGAGTCTGGACATTTGTAACTGCTCCGTGTGCTGGGGCCGAAGTGAGAGACGTCGAGGTAAACGCTGGAGAATTCGCACGGACAAGTTGGCTCGCACCAGATTGGTGGGAGGGAGGATAGCCGGGTCTGTTCATGATGGAAGGAAAGCGGGAATGGATGGAGTGGATGACGATCATAGTCCAGATCGTTTTTAAGCAGGTCCGCGCAGAGGGACAAAGGCAATATTTTGGCCAAAGAATGTGGGAGGACAAAGACAGGGGAGGCGGATCTTAGGCGCCCAACAAGGACCAGTCCGAGTGGCACCATTCATCATCTGGCTTGTTCGCTGCATTCTCATACTTGCGATACGAGCTCCGTCTCAGTGAAATGCTGCGCTCTATCACTGGCTGCACGACAAAAGTAGATGAGTGCACAGCTCGAAATCAAACAGCTCATAGAGCAATGTCCTAATCTTCGGGAACGCAATAATCTTCGACTCTCTTTGCGATCATCCGGGAGTAGTTTTATCTGCCTCATGAGGAATGCCACCCTCGGTGTTCGTCGTCAGCCGGTGCCTATGGCGGTCAGAATTGGCGTGGTCGGATGTAAAACGAGCACGGCCGACAGAGAGATTACTCTCCGCAAGGAAGGCGATTGATGTCTCCGTGAGTTTTCTGTTTGAATAAGAGACGGTGGGAAAATACCAGACATAGTATGATCGTTGTCAGGTACAGAGACCGGTTTCGACCCCGAGGACAAGAATAGCATGGTACGGCTGTGGATGCACCATGGAAAGTTAGATGCAGTATCGATGTCCACGTCAAACTGCCTATCGCACGATTGAATTGGAACTGGGAAGATAGTCAAACCTAAACATACTAACCACACACTTTCTCACTGGTACTCTCAGCTGTATGGCTGCTGGCAGTCAAGAAGGAAGGCGAGGAAGGTGACATTGTAGTTGGGGTCCAAAAACGAGACATTATATCCTGTAGATCGGACTGGGAATGGCGGTCTCAAAAGGTGTGTGAGTCGAAGAGACTGTGACTCCGATCACGTGCACATGACATGTCGCGTGTATTTGTTCTTTTCTTGGCGACATTGGTCAACGTCTCGTCTGTCACAGCACCGACAGGAGTTTCCAGGGTGCATATAACTTGAAAGAAGGATACGTTGGTCGTGGGACGACAAAGAGAGCGGGATATCGTTTTGGCAAGTTGCAGAAAATGTTGGTTGACAGCGAGACAATAGACAATTCCTTAGAGCTGAAGATACCTTGCCAAGTTTGAGAATATGGGTGTGCAGAAGAGAAAGAGCGGGCTCACTGGTTTGATGTCGACCGAATCCATCTGGAAGGTTCATATAAGGGTCGACTGGTCTCACAAGCATAGACCTTACCCTTCACGACGATAAGATATCCAGAAAGCTGAGTAAACTGTGTTCTGGCATTGGTGAAATCCCTCGGAGCTGCCGCCATGCGACTACCGACTTCATTTATCCCCACAAATGCAACATGTAAGAGGGAGAGGCTCCGCGGTGAACTGTTCACGTCTTCTCCCTATCCACGGTCGCAGAGAAGAGAAGAGGTGGAGTAATGTCCGAATGTCATAAGGATGGGCCAAGGTCGTAATCAGAAATTTGCGCTTGTAGCTGCTGGCCTGTGACTGGATGCTGAAATATCCCAGGTAGTCTATATTCGATTGTTGTTGTCCCTATATATGTTCAAGTTAAAATGGCTTGGAAGGAAACCCGACTCACACCTTCGCTTGGCTTTAGAAGGATACCTATCCAGACGTTGATAACCTTTATCCAAAGCCGCGTGCGTTTCCAATTTCCCTTGAGAACCTGGTCTTCGATGTGCTGCGCGCGCACAGGAGAAAGGCCGTATCTTTGTTGGAATGAACGATGACAGGAAGGGCAGCAGTGCGAACTTGGGCCACATAAAGGCTTGAATAAATCCAGATAGTCGGTGATCCACTGGAAGAAAACGAGTTCAAAATACAACAGCTGGCACGATGAACATTCTGTGTGTCGCAATGTTTGTTCAAAAGTCATGGCAGGCCGAATATGGCCGACGGCGCTTGCCGTCTTTGCCGCTCACACCGAAACTACGTCTTCTCTATTGGTATCTTCGCCTTCCTTGGCTTCATTATCACTACCTTCAATTGAATCACAATATCTTCAAAACCAATGCTACATGATATAAAACACTTGTGCTGCGGAGATCCTGGTAGTTGCGCCTCCCAAATTCAACAAGGTCCTGAACCAGAATCATCGGTCTCCATTCAATTCGTAGTGGGGTAACGAACCTCAAGAAGAGATGGTTGCATTTTTAGGACCTTTCTTCTATATGGAGTCGAGCGGATGTGGTGCGTACGACTATTTTCTACTGGCAATTACAGAACTGCAACTGACCACGACTGCCAGCTCTGGTCGCCCATAATGCTGTCACATCCTTGTACCAATTTTTCCTCACTCTGCACTCGCTCTCCTCATTGCCCTCCAACTCTCATCAAGTCATCTCTTCCAGATCTTGTCCCCCTCCCAACCTGACCACCCAATCTAGCCCTCTGAGTTCAGAAAATCCTTCTCCCAACTGACCTGTCGTACCAGAGTCAGTCAAAACTGAAGGAAAATCGGAAAGGTACGTACACCATGCTATAGCAATCTATCATGTTCACGGCACCAGCATGCCCTACGGTGTTCCAATACCTAGTTCAAGGCCTTCAGTTGTGTCCACGCACGACTGCAGGAGCAATCGTTTCCCCAAAACGGCATACATGGGGTTTCAGTGTAGCTGCATATATGCGACTATTTGCAGCTCTTCAACTCGATTCCTTGGAGGTGACTGGTTTCTGATTACGACATGATTCTGGAGTGTTCACGACGCTTGCTCTCAGACCACCAGTGCATATCCGCCTTCGAAAGTAACGCCTTCCAGGCCTATATATCTATTTGTTCTGTCGATAATCACTTTAGCAGCCTGCGATGTGGATCAACAAAATACTCGTCCTCTGAGCTTAAAGACGGGCGATTTGCAGTGTGATCGGTGTTGGTTTAGGCGCGCCCAGACATTACAGGAGATCGGGGACTGTGATAGGATCATAGCTAGGGATACACCTGACGGACCGCTGCACCGTGTCAAGCGAATAGAAAGGAAGGAAAACTCCAAGGGGGAGATGCTGAAGAGCTTTCACTCGTATCTAAGGTCCTCTGAGCAACGGCGACGTCAGTACCAGCATATGATTCAAGAATTTGTGCACATTCACCTAGATGGGATGGATACGCTGATAACTAAAAGCCAGCCACTTGGCCAGTCATCGATGGCATCAACATGCATGGACACTGAAGGAAACTGGCCATGAGAAGATCGTCGAGGGAGATACACCCAATGGCCTGCTGCACGTCAAGCCAATGGATGGGAGAAACTATGAAGATGAGGAGATACTAGCAAAGTTTCATGAACAGCTGGAGTCGCTGAATAATGAACGAGGTCTGTTTGGCTCGCTGGCGAGCATACAGAAGCGGGTGTGGTGATGATGTCCCCAGCTGCAAATGAGAGGTCATCGGGGTCGAGGTTGTATACCCATAGATGGACCGCTGGTGCTGGTAGCAGGGAGGGCGACCTAACAGTCGGGGAAGAACGGACAGGAGCCGGTGTCAAGGCCTGGAGAAACGATAGTTTTCTCTGCAGACCGGCAGCCTCTGCTTGGGTGACGAACCCGTTGGCAACAAGGAAGTCGATGTTCGAGGCCGTCTGCGAGGCGGTGTGAGTAAGAAGGGTGAAAATGGCGGAAAGAACTCTTGTTTTTCTTCTCCCTCACTCTCCACTGTACGCAACATTCACTCATTCGTTGGTGCTAGGTGTGACGCAGAACCAGAATGTTGCGAAACAGGTGCGGGAGGAAGTAAGGCGACAATATGGGCTGGGAAAGGCATCACCGATGTTGGCAGCGCAATTGTACCATATGATGTTGCACCCTCTCCTTCTTGCTTCATTCTTCGCCAATGGAGATAGACAGAATTGAAGAATTGAACGTAACAATAAAGAAGCACCGCGCATGATGATCGAATGGCTTTGGGAATTATTGGAAAAAGCGGAGGGATGGAATATTGATGAAGATGGTTTGAGCATCAAATTCCTCATGACACGCGTCGATATCTACCATCACAAGTGGGATGTAATGAAGAATCTTGTCCGTCACAGAGATACGCTAGCGAAAATATCAGTCAGCTGGGACTAATCACAAAAACTAAAAGATACACACCGATGTCCCTAGGACTTGCATTCTGGGTAAATCGCTTTGATCCTGGTTACTCGCCGGATAATATATTGGAAGCTGCACACTCGAATTAGAAAAGAAACGGCAGATATTCTGGCTACGCACCAAGAACCTCTCTAGAAGGTAACGACATTGTCTACCACCAAGTGCTCCATGTCAGCGGACAGGATCTCTTCGTTGCTTGCTCATTATCGAAGAAGAAGGCTGTTATGGAAGCAGTAGTCTTCGTACAGACGCCCCGTCGTCATCGTGGTCAGAGGTCAAAGTCGATACCGCACAGCCACCATCCACTTTGCCTGTTACGGTCACCACGTCCGACGACGAAGAGGGATATTTGTTCTGGATCCATTACTCGAGTTGGAGACCTCCCTCGTTTCTGCCGCTGTCTGCGAAAATTTTTACTTCTTCCCGTGAGGCGGCGTAAAATGGAAGACCAGGCCTCGCTTTGTACCCTCGTCGCGAAAGTGACGGATGCTTTTTCTCCTTCTCCTGCTCTCGTGTTGTCTTCAAGAAGCTAACGTACAGGCCTCGACGTGCGAATTACGACAAGTCAGTACTGGCCGTTAAAAGGCCAGCCAACCACGAATTACTCCTTTATCATAAACAACCATGTCTGCTCGCACCGCTACTCCGTCTATCTTCGGCGCACCCAACGAATCCGCCGAGTCTTCTGGTCGTGCCCTCGGCAGCTCCAACACTGGACTCGGAAGGGGTGGTGTCGGCAAGCAAAAGGAGGCTCTGAAGCTGCGCTTGGACCTCAACTTGGAGGTGGAGATCGCCATCCAGGCCAAGGTCAATGGTGATATCACGCTTTCCCTCCTGTGAGGACACTGTTGGATTTTGCTTGACTCGGTCTGATGGATGTTTGTGTAGCGAGTGATTGAATGATCTCGACAGCTATTTTACAGTATGGACGTTCGTACATGCTACGGTACGTTCTTTACTCGTGGTTCGTGAATTTGATGCTCACTGAGTCCTTAGGATGGTCAGTATTGGGTTCCGTATTGGACGGTAGAGAATGTCGCGTATATGGACTTGCGACGCTGTATTTTTTCTCTACCCCAATTCATTGCACTGTTCTATGCTTTCTTTTGGTGTGAATGAGTGAGTTCATGTGAATTTGGTTTGTCGTGGTATAGCAAAGAGCAGTTGATAGACAACACCCTTTTTTCTAGGAGAGCTAGGTTGTAGTTCGAGATTTCATATTTTTTAAAGGTTTAAGTTCCCTCGGCATTCAATTAGATTGTATGATTTACAGCTAGAGTTAGCCGGTGGGAAATAATAAAACGTTCACTGCCCTTCCCTGCTCTTTCACCACGACGACGACGATGGAGACGACGCTCCTCATTCACATCGTCTCGCAGACGGCCTCCAACGTTGATTTCCTCGTCGCCAACGGGTACGTCACTCAAGGAGAGGCTGCCGGTCTGCAGAGAAAACTATCCTCTCTCCAATCAACGACGGCCTCGACACCGGCGCCTGTTCGTTCGACCCCCTTTAGGTTGCCCTCCCTGCCCCCACCAGCACCAGCACCAGCACCAGCGGTCGTGCAAGCCAAAGCTTTGTGGGCATACAACCTCGACGCCTCTGACCGCGACGACCTCTCATTCGCAGCTGGGGACATCATCACCATCGTCGAAGAGACCAACGCCGACTGGTGGCTCGGGGAGTATGGCGGCCGTAGGGCTCTCTTCCCAGCTAACTACGTCGAGAAGATCGCACCAGCACCTACGCCTGCGCCTGCTCCCCGGACCCTACCTCCTGCGTTCACCCCACCGACCGGTGTTCGATCGGTACCTCCGGCTCCCACAGAGAAGAAAGAGTACAAGCCGTTCATGGCTGCTCATTCAAGCGCCAACGCGCCCCCGCCTCCTGGGGCAGGTACGAACTCCGTTGGTCTTCAGCAGGACGTGGGTCAGGATGGAAAGAAGAGCAAGTTTGGCAAGTACGGTAATACGGTGCGCTGGGCCTTTCTTTTTAGGGGTCGGGATTTTCTTATGTGTTGTTTAGATGGCCCACTCTGCAGCTGGAGGTGTAGGATTCGGTGCTGGGGCTGCTATTGGCGGTGGCCTGGTTAGAGCAATATTCTAATTGCATCGTATTATTTATTTATTGACTCTATACCATATTCGCATTGAACGAGGACTTTCTTTTTTGCTCCATCAGATTTGTGTGCTTGTACTTCAGACTATCCTCGAACATAAATGCCAAAGAATCGCTCTCTTGACCCACGAGGAACTTTTGGTCGCACAGAGAAAAATGATCCTGGACTCGGATGCTCGCAAAGGAGTGGACATTGCAGACGCGAAACAACCATGAAGCGGATCGCGACCGCCGGGACAACGAAAACCTCATCTAAGGCTCGGACAACAGTCTAACGGACGGAATCGATGGAGGAAGATTGATTTCCTCGATGCGCCGCCGAAGCTCCGGCGCTCAACAAGGACGTACGTACTCGCCTTGCGTCTCAGCAACATCGACTCCTCCTTCTTTCCTGCTGCAACGAGCTATTGGCGCGTACGAAGTTGGCCCCTCGATCATTCGTACTGACTCATGTTCTTTCAGCTCCTGAAGCGCACCTACACTTGATCGACGTTAGGTCGAAAGGCAATTGCCGACTCGGAGACCTTCATCCCTGATACAACGACGACAGGCGAAAACACGTTGCGCATCGACCCCTCTCCCGCTGGTGTTGGTGATATGTGACCTTGCTGCTAGTAACCCCCCCCTCCTTGTTCACCGTCGCCATCATTGCACCTTCCTCGTCCGACAATGCAATCACTGAAACCGTGCAAAGAGCAAGTCGTACTGTATTTGACACAAATATTCCCTGCCAAGGGCCGGTAGAGCCATCTTCTTACTTTGGACACGAGTCTGTTCTGCCTTGGGGTACACGAGACTTGTATGATGACAAATAGAAGAGCAGTAGCGAGGCGAAGCTTTCACGTGTAGCTACGAGCAGCCTTGCCGATCTCAATCTGCAGAGATCGCAGTGGTAAGTACTTGTGAGACCTGTTCAGAGTCGCGCGGGAAAACTAAAATAGTTTGAGCTGCGCATCATATCATCGAATCCCCTACAAATAAGGGCTACACCTTTTATCCTAGTCAGAAATGGACCAAGAAGGGAACAATACAAACGTTGACATAGTGCTGCAATTGAGCAGGTGAAGTACTGGTCAGTTGTCACTGCCACGATGCTTCAACTGTGTCCGCTGCTGGTACCCAGTCACAGTTTGAGCATGCGACGACGATTCCCGCCGAAAGAATCCTGATTTTACGAAATGTCTTGGACTCATTGACCTCGTCATAGACAGTGGTTGACATTGGACCATGATGAAGGAGGCTCCAAGAAATGTTGGGGGAGAGTCGCTGTTACGATGGTAGGGATCAACACCATAAGCCTGGCATCTTACTATCATCACCAATTTCTACATATCTTCTCAATTTATAACACAGATATGCTATTTCTGTATATCAGTTAGCAAGAGCAGGAAGAGTGGTGAAATCAGTTTTCATTGGTGCACAGCAAAAGCATGCATACAATGGAGAATGCTAATTATATTTCATTTGTGAGTACCTTAATGGATGGGATGTACCATCGTATATGTACAGTGAACTACGAATGGCCTGGTGTATACTCGAGGTGAGAAATGGTACTAATCTAGGACGGCCACAAAATATGTACTCACCTCAAATAAGAATGTTCCGATGCTCTTTAGTAATGCGCAGACGCTTCAGCCTCCGTACCTCGTCATCAACCATTTCAAACACGGACATTTTCTCAAACTTTTCGTCAGATAGTCTTCGCCCGACAACCCAACATTGTTTCGGAATCAGTCGGAGACCAAATACATCCATACCAAGCAATGTGTAGATGTCTTCAGGTATTGGGAACTTGTGGCGTGCAATGATGTCAAATGTATGTTCCGCCCCATTGGCATCTTTAATGATCAGCTTGCCACGTCGCTTAACCTTTTCCACACTTCCCGCGGCCAACCCTCGCACAAATACCTTTTCAATGCAGGACCCTTCAAACCAATTATCATTCATCTCCCTATCCCAATGAACTGCCATCCCGGAGTAGTACTGGCCCACAGGCAGAGGCTTCTTCATGACCTGCTCCCATGACGGTCTCCACTTCGTGCCTGTATCCCCTGGTCCATGATACCAGAAGAACAGCTCGCCCCGATTCCGCACAGACATTGCATTCACCAATTCCGTCCATGCATCTTCGAGAGATTCACTCTCTCGGTATGCCGGTATCGTTATGGGGACCAGAGGGAATGCCAGTCCCGCGACTTTGTCCACAGGATTGGTGGATACTCGGTTCTGCATCTCTGACAGGACCTCAAACATCTTGGGGGTGACTGACAGCCACCAATTCCGATGATAGACAGCACTGATGGACCGCAGCTGCTCGTGAAACCTAGTCAGTATCTCAGTATCATAGTTCTCATACTTGTCTATTGGTTTCGCATGCAGCGGTCCATCAGGTGTATCCCCGGCAATGATCCTCTCCTCGCCAATCTCCTGTAGTGTCCAAGCGCGTCTAAACCAACAGCGATCACTGTCCAAGTCACCGTCGTTCAAAGTAAAAGGCCGCCCCAGCCCACTTAGGTAGATCACGACTTTGGCGTTCGCATACACGACTCCGATAGTGGGTACATCGATCTTCCACTCTTCTGCACGCAGGTCCTCCCTTGGCCCACCCTCCTGTCCCAAACAGAGGACATCCAACCACGTGTATTCCGCTCCCAGATTCAGCATCTCGATCCGGATTCGGTCAAGGCTGGCATCTTTTGGGATGGGTACGGGCCATTCCTTCCCATTGATAGGCGTCCAGACGTCGACGCGATCCTTCGTGTCCATCCACGCGTGCGATACCGGCCGAACACTCGCAGTTAACGAGGTCATGGGTAGAGACGCGTCGCTGCTCCACCATGGCACCACCCGATTAGCGTATAGATCCCAGACCCGTCGAGGTTCCAATTCCGGGTTAACAATCCGGTTACCGACAAGTGCTTTTCGTCGCCTCTTCTGGTCCTGAGCTTTACGTGTACATAGCCCATCTGGGAAGTCATTCCAGTCTTTGGTGACCCATGCTGCGCGGAGACGGCCATATGCAGTACCAAAGTCGTAGTTGTTCTTGATGCAGTCTTCGAGAGTGGAGGACATGGACGGAGTGTCCAGGGTATGTGACGTTCTCAGGGTGGTGTTCAGTTGATCTAAGAGGCCCATGACACCGAGCGTAGCGCACGGAGTGTCGGCGAGGGAGGATGATATTACGGGCTTTCGACCGGTGTAGGATCGTTGCAGTGGAACTTCGATCGACGACTCCTGTTGGCCCGTTTCAGTGAAGGCAGAAATGGTGACTACGGGGAAAGTGAGGTCCTGAAAACATGTTAACAAACTGTTCTTTGTTTGTTTGCCAACCGACTTACCTCCTGGGCCTGAGGCGCTGGGAACATAGTATCAGCCTCTGAATCTGAGCTCAGAGGTTCTGGAGCTGTTTCTGCACTGCTCGGGTTGGGCGGCGAGTGCGTCGTTACCTCGAAGACAGGGCGGTCACCTTCTGCAGTAGAACTGGCATGAGGTATCGCCCCTTGAGACTCTGAAGGCGGAATTACGTTGGCATTTTGGTTAGAATCGGGTATTGCATCAGGAGATGAAACCTTCTTCCATGCATTCGAAAAGACGGAGCATAAGTGAATCCAAATTGACTTGACACCGCTCAAAAGTAGGCTAATAATTCTCGATAGTACTAAGGTCGTCATACTGAGTACTCCAAACGAAATAGATTAACAATACGTACTATTTCCCATTTTCCAGATGTGCAGTCACGGGGTTGTGGAATAAAGGTGTTTGCGTAGAGGCAGGCAGGTGTTGCAACTCAGAGGTCGAATTATACGGGGTGCAGCGAGGGATTCGTGTAACCAGCGTGTTAGAAGCCAACGACATCCTGCATGTTTCGGGCCCTGCAAAAGCATGCGGGTACACGTGGAAATCATGGCGTCGACTCCATCCTGTCACTCCTTCACAAAGAGCGACATACAAGGCAGATTTTGTATCGATGATGGGCCGCACACCTGTATACTCTTGTGAATCCGACGTCAGGAAGAAATACTGAAATTTTCATTAATGATATCACGTACGTATATGATACCAACCGCATCTAGATCACCGGGCCCCGCAAACGTCTCTTTTGTCCAGTGGTGGTCGAACTTCTGAATAATACCTTGAACAAAAGCTTAGAGAAAGATGAAAGAAAAACATACGATTGAATTACGGTGTCTCTCCATCGTATTCTCCGCTATGCTAACTATATCGTTCTTCGTTGTTCAGATACACTGAAGCCCCATGTATGTCGTTTTGGGAAAATGACTGCTCCTGCAGTCGTGCGTGGACACAACCGAAGGCCTTGAGCCAGGTATTGGAACATCGTAGGGCATGCTAGTGCCGTGAACGTGATGGATTGCTATAGCATGAGGATCTGTTGTACCTGAGTCAGTCGAAAATGAAAGAAAATCGGAAAGCTACGTACACCAAAAACCTGTTTGAACTTGGGAGAAGGTTTTTCTGAACTCGAAGAGGGCTAGATTGCGTGGTCAGGTTGGGAGGGGGACAAGATCTGGAAGAGACGACTCGATGATAGTTGGAGGGCAATGAGGAGAGCGAGCGAAGAGTGAGGAGAAATTGATACAAGGATGTGACAGCATTGGTGACCAGAGCTGGCAGTCGTGTAATCGCCAGTAGAAGATAGTCGTAAGCACAAATGTCTTATATCATGCAGTATTGGTATTGAAGATATTGTGATTCAATTGAAGGTAGTGATATTGTAGCAGTGATAATGAAGCCAAGGAAGGCGAAGATATTAATAGAGAAGGCGTAGTTTAGGTGTGAGCGGCAAAGACGGCAAGTGCCGTCGGCTATATTGGGCCCGAACAAACATTGTGATACACAGAATGTTCATCGTGCCGGCTGTTTTATTTTCAACTCGTTTTCTTCCAGTGGATCACCGAATCTGATTTTATTCAAGCGTTTATGTAGCCCAAGTTCGCACTGCTGCCCTTCCTATCATCGTTCATTGGAACAAAGATACGGCCTTTCTCCTCTGCACCCGCCGCCCATCGAGGACGAGGTTCTCAAGGGAAATTGGAAACGCACGCGGCTTTGAGGGTGAAGGTTATCAATGTCTGGATAGGTATCCTTCTGAAGCCAAGGGAAGGTGTGTGTCGGGTTTCCTTCCAAGCAACTTTAACTTGAACATATATAGGGACAACAACAATCGAATATAGACTACCTGGGATATTTCAGCATTCAGTTACAGGCCAGGAGCTACAAGCGCAAATTCCCACTACGACCTTAGCCCATCCCTATGACATTCGGATATTACTCTACCTCTTCTCTTCTCTGCGACCTTGGATAGGAAGAAGACGTGAAGAGTTCACCACGTAGCCTCTCCCTCTTACATGTCGCATTTGTGGGGATAAATGAAGTCAGTAGCAGTAGTAGCATTGCGGCAGCTCCGAGGGATTTCACCAATGCCAGACCATTGTTTACTCAGCTTTCTGGATATCTTATCGTCGTGAAGGGTAAGGTCTATGCTTGTGAGACCAGTCGGCCCTTATATGAACCTTCCAGATGGATTCGCTCGAAATCAAACCAGTGAACCCGCTCTTTCTCTTCGGCACACCCATCTTCTGAAACTTGGCAAGGTATCTTCAGCCAGGAATTGTCTATTGTTTTGCTGTCAGGCAATATTTTCTGAAGCTTGCCAAAACGACATCCCGCTCTCTCCGTTGTTCCATAACGAACGGATCCTTTTCAAGTAATATGTACCCTGGAAACTCTCCTGCCGTTCTGCGTTTGTATCAGATACAAACTGCTGTGACAGACGAGATGTTGACCAATGTCAAGAAAAGAACGAATAGACGCGATACGTCACAGCCACGTGAACAGAATAACGGTCTGTCCGACTCACATCCCTTTCGCCGCCGCCATTCCCAATCCGGTCTACATGATATCGTGTCTTGCTCTTTGGACCCCAACTACAATGGCATCTTCGTTCTCGACTGGCAGCAATTGACATGCTTCAAGAGGCCATTGACTATGTTCCCACCTCCAATTGAATCGTGCAGTAGGCAGTTCGACATGTACATCGATACTGCGTCTGACGTTCCAGGGTGCATCCGCAGCCATGCTATGTTATTCTCATTCTCAGGTTCGAAACCGGTCTCTATACTCGGCAACAAGCATACTACATGTCGTATTTTCCCACTATCTCTTATTCAAACAGAGAGCTCACGGAGATATCAATCGCGTTCCTCGCGGAGAGTATCCTCTCCCTGTCCGCAGTGCTCGTTTTACATCCGACCATGCCAATTCCCACCGCCATTGGCACCATTATGGTTAATGACGAGCACTGAGGGTGGCATCCCTCATGAATGCAGATAAAATCATTCCCGGGTGATCGCAAACAGAGTCGAAGAATATTGCGAAGATTGGGACGTTGCTCTATGAGCTATTTGATTTCGAGCTGTGCACTCGTCTATTTTGTCGTGCAGCCAGTGATAGGGTGCAGTATTTGACGTCGACGGAACTCGCATCGCGAGTATCAGAATGGAGCGAACGAGGCAGACGATGAATAGTGCCACTCGGACTGGTCTTTGTTGCGCGCCCAAGATCCGCCTCCCCTGTCTTTGTCCTCCCACATTCTTTGGCCAAAATATTGCCTTTGTCCCTCTGCGCGGACCTGCTTAAAAACCGGACTATGATCGTCATCCACTCCATCCATTCCCGCTCTCCTTCCATCATGAACAGACCCGGCTATCCTCCCTCCCACCAATCTGGTGCGAGCCAAATTCTCCCTGCGAATTCTCCAGCTTTTACCTCGACGTCTCTCACTTCGGCGCCAGCATACGGAGCAGTCACAAATGTCCAGACTCATCGCAGAATACAACCTGCTGTACCTATGCTTCCCGAAACATCTTCGACCTCACGGTCGCCTTCAGACTGGAGTGCGCCATCGAGACAAACCAGCCGTCCGTGCCGCTGTGGCCGCGGAAGGTGGTGGCGATTCTCCTACCCTATCCGAATGATGATCGCTATCCACGAGGAATTACCGTTCCAACCGCAATCGCGAGGATCTTGGTCAGTGCCTCTTCACCGAGTCCAACCTAGAGCTCATCTTATCACAGCCCGCGCACACGGAAACTCAGCATATATCAGAAAGAGACGTTCCTGGTGTCGCAGAACGGTCCCGAAGTGAGCTTCCTGAAAACATTCGAGAGCCCGCTGTATCGGTTCAGCCAGAACGATGGGAAGCGGAGGCCACTTTTCCTCAGGTGCGAGCCCTGGGTTGATGCAGACAGGATCGAACGGGACAAGGTGGTGTATTTGGAATGCAGGTGCGATATCTCTCTTGGGAATGTTGAGTATAATCCGGGTATCCGGGTAACTGGATGCGCCACCGGGATTGGTGTGTTGGTATCGAGAATGCGATTTTGAGCTCTGTGCTGGATACTTGGGAAATTCGGACTGCGAATTCTTCTGTAGGGAGACCGTGATGGTCTCAGTCTGAATACTATATATTTTTGACTTGCGGAGCTGTTACTGTTAAGGAACAAAGAGCTGTTGCAGTGTATTACCTTGGCATGACTATGACCGCAAGATATCTGAGAAGTTAGTTTCCCACTCTGTTGTTATCTGCCGGTCCTCTTTGTTTGTTCGTAAAGGTGGCGCTCAATCACTGGAAATATCCTCACATTTTGGTCGATATAGTACTTCTGCGATGGCCCATGTATTTGATTTGACACACCGCCGGCAAGCAACGTGCGCCGGTTTTTGCCCAAGGACATTAACCATGGATATAACCAAGTTCACTCTCATAGGATCTAGGTCGGTAATTATGGTATTACTGTTAATGCCTATGCTCCAGGTTTGTCTATAATGTTTCATGTATTGAATTGCTTTGATCCTAATGTGTGGTTGGTCCAATGACAGCAATATTCACTAAATCCATGTCGAATCCTTCTTTCAGAAAGGGTAGAATGAATTCGGAAGCAGACGGTGCAAAGGACACGATCCACCATGGCCCCGTCGGTCTCTCCTTCAAACGTTGAGAGAATGTCGAGCTGATAGCCTTCCCGACGACATAGAACAGTCATTCTGTCACTGAAACTGAGAACACAATTCGACCAAGTGAATGCGACATGTACCGTTCTTGGGTGCATCGTTCGCCTTGTGTCAGGCCTCGCATGAGCGTGCGCTGATCATGACAACTCCATCGAAATCGCCCTGTGCCGTTACAGATGCGAGTTCATTGATATTCATGAGCACGGTCTCGAGCACTAGAATCGAGAAAGGGGTGTTGTTTGCTGCAGTAAAGATGGCTCCATTCCGGTCCTGGCCACTATCGGAGGACGGTGTAGGTTCGCGAAGGAGGAGAACGTTGGCCCTGGATGTCATCGTGGTCAGCGACACCATGGGTAATGTGACCGTTGAACATTAACCATCACCTAGAACATCGCCCACTTTCTGCCCCAATACCAAGCACGATTCCGACACTGAAGATGAGGACTGCCTTCTACTGGCTGGCTATGCTGGTATCCACAGTGGAAAGAGTCTGCTCACGATGCGGCAGTAGCCTAATTCCTCAGACGAAGAACGAGATGCTAAACATCAGCGGATCAGCTCTCCAACGTCTACATTCGCTGAGGACGACTATACAGCCGCATACATCGAAGATTGCCAGCTGCTTCTATCTGAGGTTTCAATTTTTGCGGAGGATAATTCAAGATATGGTGAGGTTGTCGTGTATGCCCACTATGCTTCACACTTACTGCATGCCATAGTGAAGTTCCATTCTTCAGTAATAATATCCTCGCAGAACATATGCAAATTTTTTAGGTTTAATAGTGATGGGATCTTTTCCAGATTTAAACGGAGTTGTTCAAGGCGACGGAGGTAACGGAGTGCTTGTTGTAAAGGTAGCTACAGCCATTGACATAAGTAAAAAGTATATTAGAAACCGTATGGCTTACCGCGAAACCTCAGCGTTTCTCAGGTGCATCATAACGGTTGAACTCCAATTCTCTCAAATACGGAGAGCACAACACGCCAGAAGATGCACTTCAACTTGTGAGGCCTGTTCAGAGTCGCACGGACAAACTAAAATAGTTTGAGCTGCGCGTCATACGATCGAATCCCCTACAAATGAGGGCTATGCCTTGTATCCTAGTCATAAATGGACCAAGAAGGGAACAATACAGATGCTGACATAGCACCTCGTCCTGAGTGCAGCCGGAGTTTTAACTTGTGAAGCAAGAAAGCCGGGAAGATTCCAAGGTCAGTTCATACAAATCGCAAATTCTATGAGTCGCTCCGTCTCAATTTTGCGTAAGCCTTCGATTGGTAGAGGCTGGCTCCTTCCGGGCTTGTGTCTGTCATTTTAATTTTTCCGAGGAAAGCAGAAGGAACGAGATGCATCGCTACTACCTGCAATTGAGCAGGTGAAGTACTGGTCAGTTGTCAAGGCCACGATGCTTGCCTTGTGTCTGCTGCAAGTACCCAGTCCCATTTCGACCAGGCGACAACAATCCCTGCCAAAAGTGTCCTGAATTTACCAAATTTCTTGGAGTCATTGATCTGGTCATAGACAGTGGTTGACGATGGACCATGATGAAAGAAGCTCCAACAAATGATGGAAGAGAGTTGCTGTTCTGGTGGTAGGAATCAACACCATCAAGTTTGGCTTCTGACCATCATCATCATTTCTATACACCTCCTCTCCATTCATAACGCAAATATGCTGTTTCTGCGTATCAGTTAGCAAGAGCAGGAAGAGTAGCGAAATCGACTTTCATTGGTGCGCAGCAAAAGCATGCATACGATGGAGAATGCTAATTATATTTCATTTGCGAGTATCTCAATGGATAGGATGTACCATCATATATGTGCAGTGAACTATGAATGGGCCTGATGTATACTCGAGGCGAGAAACGGTAATAATCTAGAACAGCCACAAAATATATACTCACTTCAAATAAGAATGTTCCGGCACCGTTTAGTAATGCCCAGAAGCTCCATCCTTTGGGCTTCTTCATAGACTATTTCAAACACGGACACTTTCTCAAACTTTTCGTCAGATAGTCTTCGCCCGACAACCCAATATCGTTTGGGAACCAGTCGGAGATCGAATCCATCCATACCAAGCAATGTGTAGATGTCTTCAGGTATTGGGAACTTGTGGCGTGCAATGATGTCGAATGTATGTTCCGTCAGATTGGCATTTTTAATGATCAGCTCGCCACGTCGCTCAACCTCTGCTGCACCTCCCGGAGCCAACCCTCGCACAAATACCTTTTCAATGCAGGGCCCTTTATACCAGCTATCATTCGTCTTCCAATCAATTGTCATAAAGGGGCAGTCGTTCACAGGCAGAGGATTCTTCATGACCTGCTCCCATGACGGTCTCCACTTCATGCCCGTATCTCCTGGTTCAGGATACGAGATGAACAGCCGACCCCGATTCTCCACATCCATTGCATTCACCAATTCCGTCCATGCATCTTCGAGAGATTCGCTCTCTTGGTATACCGGTATCGTCGTGGGGAGCAGAGGGAATGCCAGTCCCGCGACTTTGTCTACAGGATTGGTGGATACCCGGTTCTGCATCTGTGACAGGGCCTCAAATATCGTGGGGGAGACTGGCAGCCGCGGACTCAGATGATTGACAGCGCTGATGGACCGCAGCTGCTTGTGAAACCTAGTCAGTATCTCAGTATCATAGTTCCCATCCTTGTCTATTGGTTTCGCATGCAGCGGTCCATCAGGTGTATCCCCGACAATGATCCTCTTCCTGCCAACCTCCTGAAGTGTCCACGCGCGTCTAAACCAACAGCAATCACTGTCCAAGTCACCGTCGTTCAAAGTAAAGGGCCGCCCCAGCCCACTCAGGTAGGTCGCGACTTCGGCGTCCCTATACACACGTCCGATAGTGGGCACATCGACCTTCCACTCTTCTGCACGCAGGTCCTCCCTTAGCCCGCCCTCCTGTCTCAAACAGAGGACATCCAACCACACATACTGCTCACCAAGATTCAGCATCTCGATGCGGATGAGATCAAGGTTGGTATCGTTTGGGATGGGTACAGGCCATTCCTTCCCATTGATAGGTGTCCAGACGTTGACGCGATCCTTCGCGTCCATCCACGCATGCGATACCGGCCGAACAGTCCATGCAGCACTTAACCACGGCATCGGGTATAGAAACGCGTTGTTGCTCCACCATGGCACCACCCGATTAGCGCATAGATCCCAGACCCGTCGAGGTTCCAAATTCGGTTGGACAATCCGGTTACCGACAAGTGCATCTCGTCGCCTCTCCTGGTCCCGAGCTTCACGTGTACGTAGCCCATCTGGGATGGCATTCCAGTCTTTGATGCCCCATACCATGCGGAGACGGCCATATGCAGTGCCAAAGTCGTAGTTATTCTTGATGCAGTCTTCGAGAGTGGAGGACATGGATCGAGTGTCCAGGGTATGTGATGTTCTGAGGGTGGTGTTCAGTTGATCTAAGAGGCCCATAACACCGAGGGTAGCGCATGGAGTGTCGGCGAGGGAGGATGATATTACGGGCTTTCGACCGGTGTAGGATCGTTGTGATGGAACTTTGATCGACGACTCCTGTTGGCCCGTTTCAGTGAAGGCAGAAATGGTGACTACGGGGAAAGTGAGGTCCTGAAAATATGTTAACAAACTCTTCTCTGTTTGTTTGCTAACTGGCTTACCTCCGGGGCCTGAGACTCTGGGAATACAGAATAAGAATCCCAGCTCAGGGGTTCTGGAGCTGTTTCTGCACTGCTAAGGTCGGGCGGCGAGTGTGTCGTTACCTCCAGGACAGGGCCGTCACCTTCTGCAGTAGAACTGCCATTAGGTATCGCCCCTTGAGACTCTGGAATTATGTTGGCATTCTGGTCAGAATCAGATGGATCCGTCATTGCTTGTGCAGTCGAAAAAGCGGAGCACAAGCGATTCCAAATCCTGTTAACGCGGCTGAAAAGCAGGGCAATAATTCTCGATGGTACTAAAGTCGTCGTACTGAGTACTCGAAACAAAATATATCAACAATACGTACTATTTCCCATTTTCCAGATATGCAGTCAAGGGATTGCGGAACCAAGGATTATCTGCATCGAGGCAGGCAGGCGTTGCAAGTTGCAGGTCGAATTCTACGGGCTGTTGCGAGGTACTCGTGTGAACAGCATGCTAGACGCCAGATGAACCAATAATAGGGAGGATCAGGATTCGTCGATTATGGGGCGATAATCGGGGGAATAACCATCATCGACCACAACTGCACAACCGATTCCGGAGTCGGTTCTGCGATGATGAGTCGTCGATTACTGGTCAATGTTGCCTTCAGCCATAATCGCTGCTGAACTGTGACACTCACTAATAATGACATTCCACAGTAAGCCCTTAGCAAGGTATGAGCGAGGACTTATCATCTACAGTAAGTGTTTTTGTTCCCTGTGTTGGGCTAATTCTGGGCTAATCGAGTTGGTTTTGCGATTGGCCAAGGCCGTGGGGAGTATTGCGAGTATGCCATGTGTTCGAGTCTTTTGGGGGGGGATCTCGTGATGTGGCAGGCATGGCACTAGTGTCGAGTCAACCTCTTACTTTATGTGCAAGCTGCAAGGATCCTATTTCTGCTCAGTGATCATTTATACCGTCAACCAAAAATCACCGGTGATCGCACGGGATAAAGAAGCAGATGGTGATATCTTTAATTACCTACATATGTAAACGTGATGAATCTGACAGCAACTCCGACTAGAGGCGTTCTTCACTGTCGATCTCTTTTGCCGTCTGCTTCCTCTTTGTGCCGCCTGTCTTTACTCTTGTATTCTAGTGTCCTCGTGGTATCCGTCACCAATATTATTTGGTACAAGTCACTCTGGAGACTCTTCAAAGATTCATTTTCTCCATCTTCTCTGCTCGCACATTTATATCATCCTGCATGTTACAGCCTCTAGGAATACCGATATCTGCAACATGGAGATCCTGTCACACCTTCGCAAAGGATCATGGGTTGCACACCTTTATACTCTTGTGAATCCGACGTCAGGAAGAAATACCGAAATTTGCATTAATGATACAAACCACATCCAAATCGCTGGGCCCTGCAAAGGTCTCTTTCCAGTGGTGGTCGACCTTCTGAATAATACCTTCAACAAAAGCTTAGAGAAAGATAAAAGAAAAACATGCCATTGAATTTCAACGGTCACATTACCCTTCGTGTCGCTGACCGCGATGACATCCAGGGCCAACATTCTCCTCCTTCGCGAACCTACGCCATCCTCCGACACTGGCCAGGACAGGAATGGAGCCATCTTTACTGCAGCAAACAACACGCCTTTCTTGATTCCAGTGGTCGAGACCGTGTTCTCGAATATCAATGAACTCACATCCGTAACAGCACAGGGCAATTTTGATGGAGTTGTCATGACCAGCGCACGCTCATGTGAGGCCTGACACAAGGCAAATGGTGCAGCCAAGAACGGTACGTGCCGCATTCACTT